AATAGGATCGGTATATCAAATTAGCTGCTATATTTAATGGACTAATTGTTATTTCTAATTTATGTGGTAGCTTATTTTGATCAGAGGTTATTGGGTAATGATAATTTAATTATTATTTAAACAAGAAGTTTGTATAAACATTTCTTAAAATTAAAATCCCTTTAACACGAAATTTAGAACATTTTTTTGTTGAAATATCGATGTATACAGAAAATATTTATTCCATAGATATCAGGTAAAGCGATTCTTACGGTAATATCTATCAATGATATCGCTGGATATCTAGAGAGGATGTTTTCTCTGTATATAAAAAACATGCACATAGACATATGTATATATTTCTCTTTAAAGAGCAGTTTAGACTCAAATCCACTTCCCAATCAGAAATGAAGTAGAAAGCTATATGAGGGGGACATAGCTGACAGGGGAATTCAATAATATTGGAAACATTTATCGATCTAGCTGAGATAATCGATTGCTACTGTGTCAACTATTATGTAGACACAGCTCCATCATATATTAGTATTGAACAAACCCCGTATACGGGTATTCTCATTTACATAGCAAAGACTGCAAGAGACCAATCGATTATTTGTGTGATCACTATTGATAAAACGTATATAAAGATCCAGCTATTTAACAAACACTTTAAAAAACTAAAACACCTATTACTTCTCTGAAAGAAGATAGTTTCTTTTATCCCTGCTTGAAAGGAGCAGGAAGTAGAAGAATATAGATTAAGATCCAGTGGTTCAAATTGAGGCTGAGAGGTTTTCATTTATACAGTTGTATTAGAAAATCAAAAGGTTTCCGTTTTCAAGATGGGAGAAGCAAGTCACATCGCAATTCACGTCTGTCGATGGTTAAGTGGTTCGACTCTTTATTTGTTGGTGCTGTTCTTAAGTATACTTGATATGCCCATGGTAGATAAGGATCTCAGTCATTCATAATTGACGAGTTGATTTAAGAAAACCACTACAAGCGACTTGGCTGATGACTCGATAGAGGACTTTTAGTGCCGAAAGTACATTTCAATATTTGTGATAAAGCTCGGAATATCTGTATAGAATTCAGTCGAACGTGTTAAATCTAAACTTTTTTTCTTTCAGTGAGGCAAATGCATCTTAGCAACTGAGTGCTTAACGCAAGTTAACTCAACTGTTATAACAGTAAACTAATATTCTTTACAGAATAACTCAAACTTTAACACCCCAATATTTATTGCATCAACACATTAGACCAACATTGTTATTGATAAATATGTATATTTATATACATCTTACATATTTACTATATTTATGACAATTTAGAAATTAAAATCGAAACGGCAGAGTGTAACAGGTAAAGGGGACTTGCTATGATAGGGAGGGTATTTGTAACTGTTAACGTTCATATATACTGATACATTTTGATTATACGAGCCTGCTAGAATAGTTGTTCAGAGGCTATTTTGTCGCCAGAGATTTGAAGTTGAAATATTTCTTCATCAGATCTACGACTCTCTTCCGGACAGCTACCTTCTGTCTCAGTCTGCTGATGCCACGTGCGACGGTTTGTATCAAGTATTACACTTTTTCATCATTTTTTCTCTTAACTTTAGTTAAAGGACTAATACTTTTCACAACAAAAAGGGTCATGAGGATGTATCCGTTTGTTCAATGTTTTTACTAAGTAATATACACGGTAAACGTGATCAAGTCGTATATTTCTTTACCTATAGGTTTAAATAAAGTATCATGATATACACATAATAAAAAGGATAACGGGATTACACACTTTACCTAAAGTTTAAACTAAGGATCAGTAATATACACACTTAACCTAAAGTTTAAACTAAGGATCAGTAATATACACACTTAACCTAAAGTTTAAACTAAGGATCAGTAACATACACACTTAACCTAAAGTTTAAACTAAGGATCAGTAACATACACACTTAACTTAAAATTTAAACTAAGGATCAGTAATATACACAGTAAGAAGGAACAAGGGATGTACACCCTTTACTTAATGTTTTGTTCTCCTTTTAAAAAGAGTAAGACTGCATACTTTCAGTTAGTTGCATCACACGGTATCCTTCTCGTGGCGACACCAGGACTAAATTTTGTTTGACTAAATATCATTGAAAAAACTTTATGGAATCATTCTTCTCTTGATAAATATATATAGCCACTGTTCTTAAACATATAGATATGGTTTGTTGAAAGCTATGATAAGTCTTTAATATGTTCGATAGTATATAGATTTTCTAAATAGTTTTTCAGTTTAAAAACCTTCATTCTTTGTCTTTTTAGGTAAAAACCCTGACACGGGGTGTGAGTTTCCTGAATGGGTTACAGTCCCCCGTCACTGGCACACTCTTGACGACAGCGTGTCCTACGTCTTCAGCGACCAGAACAACAGTTTTCGGATAAATCATCATAACTCTGATTATTCTGATACAACGGTATCTTGTGCTAAAGAGGTTGTTAGTTCAGCAAACACCACTGTCGTGGTTGCCTACAGCACATCAGGGTGGTAAGCTTACAACTCCATAAAAGTAAATTAAGTGTGCATGTCTAACACTAATAGATAAGCAGATGGTCGGTGAGTGATAGAGGAATGGATAAAAAAAAACTAGACAGATAGCCCTACATGTCTTTTTTATGATATTCTGGACGTTGTGCTGTAACTTCTGTCAAACCCATCTGGCGTGTTACGGTATGTAGTCCTTAGTATGTTCTTCGTCATTTTCTGAACGTTGTGCTGTAACTTCTTACAAACCCATTGATGTGTTACTGTATGTAGTCCTTCGTATGTTCTTCGTCACATTCTGGACGTTGTGCTGTAACTTCTGACAAACCCACCTGACGTGTTACTGTATGTAGTCCTTCGTATGTTCTTCGTCACATTCTGGACGTTGTGCTGTAACTTCTGACAAACCCACCTGACGTGTTACTGTATGTAGTCCTTAGTATGTTCTTCGTCACATTCTGAACGTTGTGCTGTAACTTCTGACAAACCCACCTGACGTGTTACTGTATGTAGTCTATCGTACGTTCTTCGTCACATTCTGGACGTTGTGCTGTAACTTCTGACAAACCCATCTGACGTGTTACTGTATGTAGTCCTTAGTATGTTCTTCGTCACTTTCTGGACGTTGTAG